ATAAAAATTATCGTAAATTAAGTAATTCGGTAAAAAATTTTTCATGCATGAATATGTATAAATATGTATAAACATACATAAACACGCATAAATATTCATAAACGTGTATAATTATATATGAAATATGTCCATACATGTTCATACATCCTTCTTTCTTTTGTAAAATTACTTTTTAGTGTAATAAAAATAATAATAGTAATGTGAAAACATTAAATAATTAAAAAGATAATTTTTGCAACTACTTGTTTTAGAAAAAAATCAAGTTTGAAGAAATGTAAAAAAATTACTTACGTGTAATTATATATACAATTATGCATAATTATGTATGAGCAATTTTTTTTACATTTTTCCATTTTTCCATATTTTTTTCTAAAACAATGCGAAAATTATCCCTTTAATTATTTTTTATGTTTTCACATTACTATTATTATTTTTATTACACTAAAAAGTAATTTTACAAAAGAAAGAAGGATGTATGAACATGTATGGACATATTTCATATATAATTATACACGTTTATGAATATTTATGCGTGTTTATGTATGTTTATACATATTTATACATATTCATGCATGAAAAATTTTTTACCGAATTACTTAATTTACGATAATTTTTATATTTTTCAATTTTTTTTATTTCCTATCTTTATCTTTTTAATCTATTTCTTTCTCTTCTACCTTCATTTACTAAGTAATAAAATACTTCTTATAGATTTTTTAAATCGTAACGTAAATCAATAATAATTAAAAATTCGATGAAAGAAATAGAAAAAATAAAAAAAGACTGGCTTTCCTTTTAACGGTGAAAAAAAAAAGAAAAAAGAGATGAACAGTGCGAGAATAACCTTTTTTTCAAACACGTCGCACACGCCTTCGCGATAACAGGAATCAATTACACTTTCCTGCACTTTCCCTTGGAACTCGCGAAACTCGCAGACTTCAGTAGAATAAAGAGGGATAGCGGGAGGAGAGTCAACAAAGTGTAAACAGCGCGAGTGGACTTTTGAACGAATGTATCATCGCAATCGTGTCACGCATGTTCGCCGTCTCGGCGCCGCGGCGCCGCGCCGACGGAGATTTGTGCGCAGTAGCAAAGCACGCGTGCGGTCGAGTAGAGTGAGTAGTGAAGTAGCTAGTCTTGCGAGACGAACAGAGACGAAATTGAGGTAGCTTCGGCTCGGGTTACTCGGATATCAGCAGCGCGCACGGTGGTCACCTGGTCGCTCGCATCGGATGCTCCGAGTTCCAATGATTGATACTACGATCAGCTGTGTGCTACTCCATG